CCCTCCCATTTAGAGGCCCAGGTGAGGTCTGTGCATAACTTGCAAAATCATCAGGCTTACAAAGCTGCTCTTTGCTGCCACAGCTGCTGAGGCTGCAATTGTTTCCATTCTGCAGCAACAATGTGCCTGGAGGGGCATGTGAATTTACAGCCACGTGGCCAAGGTAAAAAGGAGCCTTGAGAGTTGAATAGCCCTAAAAATTGTGTTCAAAACAGAGTCTGTGCCAGAGCTGCACTTAAATAAAGGCTGTCTTGCAGAGAGCTGCACTTAAATAAAGGCTGTCTTGCAGAGGGATTTGAGGAAAAGCTGATGCCTTGTGTCAGGCTTTGGTATTTTCCTTCCTTCAATAGTTGCTAGAAAACATTAATTTTTAAGTGCTTTGAGCATGTCATGTGCTAAACATTGCCCATCCCAGCGACCTAAACCATTCTCCTTCTCCCAGTGTGCCTGAAGTGTGACTTGCAGGAGAGGCTGCTGGACCCAGCCCTGCTTTTGGGGACAGCTGATGGCACTGGGAGAACAGCAGATGCCAGTTCTGCCTGGCACGTGGCAGCCTGGCCATCCACAGCTCTGCACAAACTCCGGGTGCTGAAGTGAGTGGTGCTCCTTGTCTCCCACTGGGTAACTGGGGCAGGCTGTAAGAAAAGCTTCACTCTCCTGGGGCCTGCTGACATCACCAGGAGGCTCTGGGGTGCTGGTGAGCCAAAGTCTGGTGTGAAAAACCCCCAGTTCCATCACTCTTCCTCTCAAGGAACAGCACAGCCCACATGCAGACCACAATCAATCACACCTGGTGTCACCACAGCACTCAGTGAGGGTGACACCACAGATGCCATTCCTCCAAAAGTTGTTTTGCCCCAGTGTAATGTTTAATTGCAGTAATTCTGCTCTCTCATTACCTAATGAGGCCACAGCAATTAATTGGATGTCAGAGCCTAAGCAAAACCTCACAGTGCTGTGATTTCACCTAACAATTCTCTTTCCTGGCAGCAGTTCATGGCACAGGGCAGAGCACAGAGATGCCCTTTAGTGTCTTTTCTGAGGTTATTTATAGGAAAAAACCAGGATAATTTCTAAGCTGTGCAGCTGTTCTTACAATGATGAGCACTAACATGAGCTGTATCCTGGCAGGGCTCTGAAGTCTGAAGGGGTCTGTGAGTCTGTACTCTATGGGCTGCCCTTCATCATCAAGCCCACAAGCTGCTGGCAGCTGGACTGGGATGAACTGGAGACAAACCAGCACAGCTTCCATGCTTTGTGTCACAGTCTCCTGGTGAGTGTGTGACAATGGCAGTGTGATGGGGAGGGATGGCCAGGGAAAGGGAGTGCACACCTTGTAACATCTGTCTGGCTGCACCAGGAAATATTTTAAAAGCTGCAACCTCATCTCTTGGGCCAGAGTTGGGCTTGTAAATCCTTCCATCTGCTGGAAAGATGCTACAGCTCATCAGAGCTTAGGGAAGACCCTCAAACCTACCACAAATGAGTGTTTGGAGGAGTGAAGTGCAAATGCCAGGGTTGGAGTTAGACTTGCAACTTTAACAGCAAAAATAATTAACCAGGACTTGGACTGTGGAGAACTGACAAGCTGCAAACCAAAACTCGGTGTTTTTCTTAAGAAATGACTTGCTAAAAAACAAACCAAATGCCATGCTGTCCTCAGCCCTGCTGCAGAATAGTTTCCCTTCCGTGATGTGTGAGTGTGCCTGCCCTGAGCCCACGGTGGCAGCACTGAAGTGGCTGTTGCTGTTGTTCACACCTGGATTTTGCCCTTTAGAAAAGGAAGTGGATGCTCTTGGCCAGGCATGAGCCCCAGAACACTGGACCAAACTGGAACGTGGTGGTGCACCCCTATTATGTCATCGTCCCCTCTGACTCTGCCACTCTCCTGGTGAAAGCAGTGGCCATCAGAGAGCTCCTGCTGCCATCAGCCTTCCCAGCCCTCCTGGCTGAGCACCCCGAGCGAGTCAGGGGCCCCATCGAGGTGAGTCACTCATTATCAGCTCTCGTTATCACCTCAGCAGATAACGAGAGAAGGAAATGGCTGTGACAATGTCTACTGACAGCTGAAGTGCGATGGTGCACTCCAGAACTCCTTCCCAGCAGACAGCTTTCTCCATGGACAGCAGATACCTGTCCTTGGGAGCAATGTTGGTGTCTGTTGGGGGGAAGAGGCCTTGTGAGGCAGAGTTGAGGGTGACAGTGCCCAGAAAGGGAGTTCCAGCCTGATGCTGGACAATGGGAAAGGATAGGACTGCATCCTGCAAGGGAATGTTTGAATCCATTAACATCTGTTTGGAGATACCTCTTGTTCTCTACACAGCTAAGAGTGCTCCTTATGGTTTGCAGCCCAGCCAACAATCCCTTCACCTTTCACTGCAGGGTGGGTGGTTTGGAGAGTCTACAACACTGTCCCTGAAAAAGAAACCAAAAAAACCACAAACATGCAAACCCCACAGCCTCCACCTCACATCCTGTAGCAAACTCAAGTTCTCTCTTCCAAGCAGAGCGCCCTGAACAACTTGGAAGTGGAAGTTGCTTACAACCCCTTGCACCTGAAGAGCAATCTCTACAAATACCTGAAGAGCTCCTTGTACAAACCTCCCCACCGGCAGCAGCCCCAGCCCCGGGAGCAGCGCCCGGAGCGGCACCAGCCCAAGCAGGTGAGTCCGTGTGTGTGAGCAGCCTGCACGGGGTCTGATGTCCCCTCCTGGCCAGATTCCAGCAGATTGTGCCCTCCTAATCAGATTCCTGCTGCAGGCAGCTCCCTGTGCCCAGCAGGGTGAGGCACAGCCAGCACCTCCTCCCACAAGGATTTGTGTTTTGTCCCTGTCTTGCAGCCTCAGAGCAGAGCCAAAGCTGCAGTGGCTCCCCTGCTGATGGCTCCCTCTCCCCTCCAAACGTTCAGATCACCAGCAGCAGCAGCCAGGAGAGGCTCCTGTGAGGGCTCCCTGCTCCCCAAGGAATATGAGGAGTTCTTGCAGTGAGCTGCCCCTGGGCAACCACAGGTCCTGGCTCAGCAGCTGGCCGGATGTGGTCAGGCAAGGCACCGAGCTTGGCCTTGGTCAGGCAGGCACTTCCCATCGTTTGTTCCTCCTTGTTGTTGTTTCACGTTGTGTTCGTCACCGAGCCAGTTCTGCAGGAAGTTTGCTGCTCAGGGACCCTCTGTCCAGAGATCCAGCTGTCCCCTGCAGCAGCAGCAGCACGTATTTCCTGTTCTTGCCACCACACGTCACCAGCCTGCCTCAAATTTGGGTTTGTGAGACTGTGTTAGCACAGGCCACAAATCACAGATTGCTGTCAGTGGGAGCAGAAGAGCTGCAGGCAGGGCAGGGAGGAAATCAGACAAGGCAGGCAGTCGTGCTGGGCTGCCCTCATCCCACAGCAGCAGGTTCAGTGGGGTGGTTGAATAGGAATGAAACAGGGCTCTTGGATTTAATCTTAAAGATTAAATCCAGATGATTTGGTTGCTTCCAAGACTGGCCTCGTTGTCCAACGCCCCAGCTAGTGAAGGGGGTTGTAGCAAATGCCAAGCCAGAGCAATTCCAGAGAATTCCTGGCCAGATGCCAGCCTGTTTTTCAGTGCAGGTGTAGGGTAGGTGTGAGCCAAGGGCAGCTTGACCAAGCCAAGGTGGGGTGGTCTCACTGAGCCCCTGATACCAAGCACCAGCAGAGTTTGTGTTCTACTTACCTGGTTCTGAAAAGCTGTTCCAAAATAAAGTTACCCTCCATGGAGCTCACTCTCTGCCTGTGGTTCCTGACATGTCCAGCACTGCTATCCCACCACTGACCTGTGCTTCCTGGGAAACAGCTGCAGGTGAGCAAGGGCACGAGGCAAGCACCACAATCCCACCTCTTCTCCCTGGGATCCCAGCTCTGACAGGCCCAAAGGCATGGGCTGGCTCTTGCCATGCCCTGGCATCTCACCAGGCAGCTGCTGGGGCAAGACATCAAGGGCAGGTACCAGGGAAGACAGGGCAGACACCCCAGCAGGCACAGGGATGGCTGGGTGCAGGAATGAACACACACAAATAGCCCAGCCTGGGGCCTGCAAACCAGTCAACAACATAAAAATTATAAAATCAGGTTTAGGGAGGAGGCAGCAGGGAGGCAACAAAGTTTTTGGAACCACCTCAGCCTCCCTCAGATTTCCCAAAACCCAGTAGACTTTTCCCCTTCTCCTGCATCAAAACCCCAGTGGAGAAGAGACCCAGCAGAGGGGAACAGCCACAGATTGGTCCTGGCCACAGCTGAGCTGTGTTTTTACAGGACTGAGGCTTCCCCCTGCAACCAGGGCACCAATAAATGCCCAGAGTTCATCACCTCATCACCATCTCACCAGCCTGGGGACCTGAACCTCCAGGCTTCCCCAACAGTTTGGCTGAGCTGGGGCTGCAGAAGTCGAGCTTAGCCCTCTGCAGAGGTGCAGCACAGTGCTGCCTGTCACCTGCCTGTTCTTTAGGTACCCACAGGCTGCCAAACCTGCAGAAGTCACCAGCAGCCCCATCCAGACGTGGGGACAGCCAATGCCAGCAGGCCTGGTGTGGCCCCACACAGAAAGCACAACCTGTTTTTCTCCTGGGTAGGCTTCTGGCCAAGGCTGGCCACGCAGCAATCCCACAAACCACACAGCAGGCATCACAGATTTGGCCATTAAACAGAATGGGAGCCAGACTGGGCCCTTCCAGGCCTTCCAAAGCAGCTGGGAGCAGGGGGGATCAGCAGTGGGATCAAGCTGGAGAAGGAGAGATCCTGTGACTGAACAACAGCCACTGAGCTGCAGCAGAGCTGGTGCCTGTCCCTGCCCAGCCCTGTGCCTGGAGGCCACCACATATCTGAGCCTGACTCCCATTTCCCTTAATCCCCTGGCACCAGGGCATCCAGCCACAGCTCAGCCTGGCAGGCACTTTTCTTTCAGGCTCCCTCTTGGCTCAGTAGCCCTGGCACAGACACAAACGTGCACCTGCACCTCCCCATCCACGCCACAGGCAAACGTGTCCTTCTGAGACATACAGACTTTAATATTAAAATAACTTTATATAAAAATACTTTTGGAGACTGATGGCAAGCAGCCTTCCACACACCATAAAAGGCACCAGAGCCCTGCAGCCTGGTCAGACAGGAAGCCAGAGCAGAGCCAGAGCAGCAGATACAGGAAAATACCAGCCCTCCTGCAGATCAGAAGGCACAGTGGAACCAGCTCCAGAGCTGGGGCACGCTCCAGCCACAGCTCTCTTGCTGTTTCCCTCCAGGGAAACACAGCCCCTCAGCACTGGTGAGAAAAGGGGCTCTGCCTGAGCCCAAACAGCCCCGAGCCATCCTGGGGAGGAGAAGCCCAGCTGGCACTGGGATGCCCAGTCCCTGCTGGGATACAGACGCAGAGCAGCAGCAGCAGCTTATATCTCCCCTAAATCCTCATAGAGAGGCGACAAGCTGTACTCATCCACACACTGCTCCTTCTTCTGCAGCTGCTGGGGCTTCACCACCTGGCTGTAGAGCACCTCCACGTTGTTGTTGTTGCTGCTGTTGAGGCTGGGTTTGGCGAGCACCTTCTCGGGGGCCGCGCTGCCCCATCGCCTGCCAGGGTCCTCCATCCTTTCTGCCCCTTTGGGGATAAAGGCTGCCTGGGGCTTGGGGGCTGGCACTGGCTTGGGGTTCTTGGCCTTGGCCGGGAAGGTGGGTACCGAGTAATCATCAGTGCTGGGGTTGTAGGGGTACTCGTAGCCCCCCTTGCCGTCGTGGCCCTGCGTGCGCCAGGCCTCGCTCGTGGGCCGCGCCTCGTCGTAGATGTAGGCGAAGGGATGCAGCGAGCGGGGGGCACGGCCCTCGGGCTCGTCGTAGATGTGCTCCTTGTGCCCAGGGGCGGCCTGGCCACGACCCTCGGCCCGGCCCTGCCCCTCGGACAGGGGCCGGACCTGCTCGTACGGGCCCGAGTACGGCGGCGGCACCGGCAGCCGCGGCTTCGGCTCCTCCACAGCCCCGCCGGGCGCCTTGGCCACGCTCGCGGCCTTGCTGTCCACAGGGTCCGAGTACAGCGGGTCTGGCCACGGCTGCAGGCTCTTCACCGAGTCCAGGGGCTCCGAGTACACGCTGGATGGGTCCTCGGCCGGCGGCACGGCGCGGAGCCCCTTGGGCAGAGGGGAGCGTGGAGGGGTGCTGGACACCGTGGGCTTGGCCGGTGGCACGGGCAGCTCCGGCAGAGTCCGGCTCTTCAGCAGAGATGTGGCATCTCTCTCCTCTGCTGCTGCTGCTCCAGCCCTGGGTGCCAGCCCTGCTTTGGGTGCCGGGGTGTCGTCCCCCTCGGCGGGCAGCTCCAGGTTCAGGTTGTCAGCCAGGGCCTGGCGGATCTGCACCACGCCGGGGCTGTCGGCTTCCAGCGAGTCGCAGCTCTGCCGGTTCTCCTCCACCTGAGCCTTCTGCTCCTGGATGGAGGCTTCCACCAGGCGGAAGATCTCGTTGCCCTGCTTGGTCTCAAAGGTGAAGTTTCCAGGTCCTGAGTCACAGCGCCTGCCAGCCTCGAAGGAGAACATCACCTGAAGGGGAAGCAGAAGGGTCACGTCCTGCTCAGCACCCAGCACGTTGTGCAGGCTGAGCTTCCCATCAAAGGGCGTGTGGCTGCAGCACTGACCCTGCACATCCTGCAGGAGAGACTGCCCTGAAATCCTGCCCTGAAATCCTGCTCCTTCCACTCCCACAGCAAGGGCCAGCCTGTGCCCAGCAGCTGGGCAGGGAAAGGCCACACTACAAGCTGTAGAGCTGGAGCACACCTGAGGGGACATCACTGTGAGTGCCCCAGAGAGCTGCAGCTCCTGCTGGAGCCCTGCTGCCTTACGTGAGCAATTCCAGCAGTTTCTACCACCTTCACAGACAGTCTAGGAAACAACACTGAGGAAGGAGTACGGTGAGAAGCTGAGTGACAATTCAGCAGGGGAAACTAGTAGGGAATCTTGGGAAAGAAGGGAGTGCTCTGGAAGCAAGAGATACAAGAGGAAGAACAGGGCTTTCCACAGCAGAAAGCTCAGCAGCAGCAGCTCAGTTACCAAGAGTAAGCAAAGCATTGACCTACCAGCATTAATCTGTTCATGGTAAAAGGTCCTTTAAAGAGAAGTCTTGCACCAGGGCTGTGCTTCCTCTGGCCTGAGCACACTCTGGTGAGCAGGTTCCCACCAGCTGACGCCCACACTCTTCCTGAACCTCATTCCCTTAACCAGGGGAGATTTTCTGCCTCTCTCACAGGCAGCAGCAGCCCCTGCAGTTGCTACAAAGGTCTCTGGGGACAAACTTCTTTTTATGGGTCAGTGCTGCTGAACAGAAGCACAATCAGACCCTCCCTGCTCAGGTCACTGCAGGTGTGGCTCCCCACACCCTGCAGCTCTCCTCCTGTCCCCAGCACAGACTCTGCAGATGAGCTGGACACCCCCACAAGGACAGCTCAGTTTCCACTGAGCTTTGGGAATATGCCACAAAAAGCACCATAAGCAGAGTGTGGCCAACATGGTCCCTGCTATCAACAGCCCCAGAATACCACTGAGCAGGCCCAAGACACCACTGAGCACCCCAGGACACCACTGAGCACCCCAGGACACCACTGAGCAGCCCCAGGACACCACTGAGCACCCCAGGACACCACTGAACAGCCCCAGAATACCACTGAGCAGCCCAGGACACCACTGAGCACCCCAGGACACCACTGAACAGCCCAAGAACACCCCTGAACAGCCCAAGAACACCACTGAGCAGCCCCAGGACACCACTGAGCACCCCAGGACACCACTGAACAGCCCAAGAACACCCCTGAACAGCCCAAGAACACCACTGAGCAGCCCCAGGACACCACTGAGCACCCCAGGACACCACTGAGCAGCCCCAGGACACCACTGAGCACCCCAGGACACCACTGAACAGCCCAAGAACACCACTGAACAGCCCAAGAACACCACTGAGCAGCCCCAGGACACCACTGAGCACCCCAGGACACCACTGAACAGCCCAAGAACACCACTGAACAGCCCAAGAACACCACTGAGCAGCCCCAGGACACCACTGAGCACCCCAGGACACCACTGAACAGCCCAAGAACACCACTGAACAGCCCAAGAACACCACTGAGCAGCCCCAGGACACCACTGAGCACCCCAGGACACCACTGAACAGGGACACCAACCCCACTGTGGGGACAGGGCTGCTCAGGGCAGGGCAGGGGACACAGGCAATGCCCAGCGTGGCCCCAGTGATGGAGGAGCAGCAGCAGGACAAGGCTCTGTGGGAGGTGGCCCCGAGTCAGGGCAGCAGCAGGTCCCACCTTCATCTCTGGAGTAGTAGATGGAGTTCACGGCCATCTCCAGGGCTGGTGACTCCCCGCTGCCCTCTCGGCCATACTGTGACACCAGGCCATCGCTGGGGCCATTTCCCTGCCAAAGGAGAGCAGATCAGACCCAGGGTTCTCTTCCCACATCAGCCCCAAGGCCACCTTGCATGGCCTGAGCCCTGCTGCCCTCCCCAGCCCCACAGCCTGGCTGTGCTGCACCCTGCCCACCCCAGAGCTGGCCACAGCATCCCCTGAGCCCACAGCAACACGGATGAACAGGGCCAGGCAGCACAGGGGGGACTTCCCTGAGCTCCTGGCAGCGCCCTGTCCCCAGCTGGGCTCTGCAGTGACAGGATACAGGACAGCACAACGCACAGAGCTGCCCCCAAAGCACGGCACAACCCAAACACAGCTCCTGGCCATACCGTCCCAAGGACAGGGGACTGGTGACACAGGGAGCTGATGGCCTGGTGACACGGGGAGCTGATGGCCTGGTGACAGGGGGAGCACACAAACCCTTGGTGCTTGGGTCTGTGTCCTGCCCTGCCAGGAGGACGGGGAGCCTGCAGAGGGGAAGCGAGCGCTTCTATTTTAGCACATGCAGAACTGAAAATGCAACACGCACGCTGTCAGCGACTGTGTCCCAGCAGCAGGGCCCCCAAAGGGCCGGGGGGGGACACAAACCCTTGGTGCTTTCAGAGATCCTCCTGCAGAAAAGCCCCTCACAAAGGACAGGCTCCCTGAGCCCTGTGCAGCTGCCACAAGGGAGGCTCAGCGTGTGGAGCTGCTCCTTGGGGCTGCAGCAGAGGGTACACCTTGCAGAAGGCACAGGCCACAGTTTCAGTTTAAAGCCCACACACATGAGCTTCTTAACCCAAACGAGGCCCAAAAAAGGGCCATGCAGCCCTTGTGGTTGGGTCATAGAACCTCATGTCCTGAGAGCTGATAGCAGCAGCTCCTCCTCAGCTAAAGCATCCAACACAGCAGGGCTCCAGCGTGGGACTGGAAAGCCAAGGGCCACTAGATCTGCCAGAGCCTCTAAGGCTCCATTTGACTGCACTTCTCCTCATCTTCAAAAGGAAATTAAAGAAAAAAAATCTGTTCTGAACTCCAAATGATCTCTGGCCCCAGCTCCCAAGCTGCTGCACCCTGCATACCCTCTGGGCAGGAACATGACACAAAATCACATTCTCCATGCAGATGATCAGCAATCCCAGCTGAGGATCTCCAGCTCTGTGCAGAGAGGCCACGTGCAGCTCTTGTGCCTCCTGCTCCAGGTCAGGCCTTTTTAAAACACATGCCAGCCTCGTAGCCTTTTGCTCCCAACCTCCTAAACTTCCAGCTTGCTTCTGGACCTCAGGCCCACAAATGATGGCTCCATGTGGGGGATGGGAGCTCCAAGCAGGTGCTCCCTGGCCTGGCCACCACCCTGCCCCGCTCCCAGGGTGTGCTGTGTCCCCAGCTCAGCCCCACCAGCTGCTTTCAGGGCAAAGGCTGCAACCCTGCCTGCACCAGGAGACACAGAGACAATTCCACCAGTGCCTCCCAGCCCTGGCATTTGCTGCACGGACACCCCTGGCCTGCCAGGAGACTGCAGGGAGGGACAAAAGTGAATCACACTCAGGGGACATCCTGGCATTAACAGTCCTCCTGCCAGGCAGCCCTGCCCAGCACTCCAAACCTGGAATCAGCTGGAGCCCAACGCAGGGCTCTGCAGACACCTCCCAGGAGGGAGAGGCAGCGCTGTGGAGCTGGGCAGGCGTGGGCTGCTGTCCCAGAGGGCACAGAAAACCACACAGCCAGGGCACCCGCCGACAAACAGCCTTGGCTGGCACACTGCTGCCCAGCAGCTCCCGGGGCTGCAGAGGAATGTTCCAGAGCCCAGCACAGACAGGGTGCCCACAGCAGCAGCCAGGAGTGAGCCCCGAGGCTGGGAAAGGGGTTCCAGGTCCTGGAAGCAGACGGGTCCTGTAAGGCTCTCGAGGCTCTGCTTCCACGGCTGCTGCGGCAGGAAAGGCAGCAATGGCTGGGCCAAGAGGAAACGCTCCTGGCCATCAGCTGGCCTCCTGCCAGCTCTCTGCAGGGCGAGCACGGGCTCTGCACCGGGCAAGAAGAGCCCGACTTGAAATTTGGAGCCACAACCTCGAATTATTGACAGCACGCTGAGGAGCCCCGCAAACCACAGCAGGACCCACCGAGAGGGCACTTCAAACCTTTACACCTCAGGGTGTCCTCCCTGAGCTGCCAGGTGCCGAGGTGTCACCCCACACACTGACACCCATGTCCCGTCCCGTCCCCTCGTCCCGCCCAGCCCGGGGCTCACCGGGAAGGCGATCTGGCACAGCTTCGCCACCCACTCCTCGCTCTGCTGCTTCTCGGCCGCGAAGAGGAAGCTGCGGTCGCGGGTCTCCAGGCGGAAGGTGGCGGTGCCGGCGCGGGGGCCGCTCTCGCCCACCGGGGCCACGCTGGTGCAGTCGCTGAGCCGCACCACGGTGCGGGCGAGCCGCCGGGTGCCCGCCCGCCCGGCCGCCGACGGCTCCTTGCAGTCGAAGAGCTCGAGGCGAGCCACGCCGTGCTGGCTGGCCGGGTAGAGCGCGGACCAGCCGCGCTTCCAGCGCTGCGGGCAGCGGGGTCACACCGCGCCCGCCGGGGCCGCTCCCAGCCGGGCCCGCCGCTCACCGGCAGCGGCCCCCGGAGGGCGGGGAGGAGGGGAAGGAGGGAAGGAAGTGGGAGAGGGAGGAAGGGATGCCCGGACTCACCTTGGTGCCGAATTTGTGGCTGTGCTGCACCAGCAGCGGCCCCTCCATGGCCGGCGGCTCCATCACCGAGCGCTTCCGCTGGGGCGGGGACCGGGCGGGACCGGGACGGGAACGGGGATGGGGCGGGGACGGGGCGGGGACCGGGATGGGGACGGGACGGGATGGCGGGGATCGGGATGGGAACGGGGACCCGGCGGGGACCGGGATGGGGCGGGGATGGGACGGGAACGGTGACCGGGATGGGGACGGGGCGGGGATCGGGATGGGAACGGGGACCGGGATGGGGACTGGGACCGGGCAGGGACGGGGACGCGCGTGTCAGGGGCGGGGCGTGCTCGTGCACGTGTGCGCGTGCACGTGAACAGATGTGTGCACAGCTGGGCGTGTGCCCGCGCGCGCGTGTGGAAAGCGCGTGTTATGTGGCTCTGCTCAGATATTTGCTGTGTGTATTGTGTTGTGTTGATTAGCAGTGCTGCGTTAACCTTTGAACAGTATGGTAAAGGTAGTTTTGTAGTTAAAAGGTAACTTTTGTAGTTAAAATAGGAACTAATGTATGTGGGGGTTTTATTTTTTTTTTTTTTTTTAAGAAAGGAATGAGGTCCCCGCACCAGATAGCAGCCACAGGACACCTAAAATTTTCAGAGAAAGAGAATTTATTGCTCTTTTATCATTAGAGGCTAACTTCTTCCAGCCTTGCTCAGCCATGACGACACCGTTAGGATTAGGAATGGTGTTTTTAGGATTAGGAATTAGGCGTTCTTCACATGTGACACAGGCTTGTGCTCTCCATGGGGACAGAAAACGCGCTCGGATGGGCTGAGGGCAAGCGAGGTGTGAAAAACGCCAATCGCTTGGTTTTAGAATTTTAAAGTTTAATAGTAATAAAATGGTTATTAAAATAGTAATAAAATTAAAGTAATAAAAATTTGGACAATTTGGATTAGGACAATATGAGACAATAAAAACAAAGAGTTACAGACAGTCCGGGTACCTCTTTCTGGGCAAAATAAGCCCGAAAAAGGACACCCATTAACAGAGGATTAACCCTTAAAATTAATAGCCCATTGCATATTCATACACCTCACCCATGATGCATAAATTGCATTCAAACAAAGGATTCTGGCTGGTCAGTGCCAACTTCTTCCTCTTAATCCTGACAGCATCTTCATGGCTGAGCAAGGTGGGAAGAAGTTAGTTTCTTCTGATAATGGAGCAATAAATTATTTTTCTGTGAAAGATTCAGGTGTCCTGTGGCTGCTGTCTCAGTGCGAGTCCTCTCTTTAAAAACAAGTATCTTACATAGCATAGTTTATATTTTAACATTATGTTCTAACTTAAAACTATAGTTAACACACTACTTAAGAAAATGAATACAGTATAACTTTCTGACATAACACATATAATAGTCATTTGAATATTTACAAAAAGCCAATCATAAAATACACATTTTTCACAGAGGGCAATATGGGGAGTGGACAAGGGGATAGGTGAGGTTTCACAGGACAGGAAAAAGGAGTGATGTCTTTGACAGGAGAAAAATAAATGAAGTGGAGGACTAGAGGCTGCTTACCTCAAGCTCATAGCCCAAGAAAATCGTGGAATAGCCAGGTGCTCACAGAGAGAGCAGAGAAGGCAAAGAATCACAGCAAACACCTGTGTGTGCCCAGCCCTGCACAGCTTCATTCTCTGCCTGGAGACAGGTAATGCCATCTATATTTCATGCCATGTCCCTGGGCACCGAGGCCACTCCAGGGGCACTGGGCTGCTCCCAGTACTGTCCCTGTCATCGCTGGCCACTCCAGTCTGCCCCAGAAGCCTCCTGCAGGGCAAGGCATTCCCAGCTGGGAGAGGTGCTGGCTGTGAGGCAAAGGACGAGCACAGCCTGTGCTCAGCACACCCAGCGTGGATGAGCCAGCCTGGTGGCACTCTGGTGGCACTGGGACCCTGCCAGCTCACTGCTGCTCACACACTCTTGGGCTTCTTGCTGCTCTGATGGCCCAGGCACCATGACTTCGGTTTTCTGGCACAACATAAACCTGCAAAGGAGGAGGGAGAAGCCACAGGTCCTGGTTGCCCAGGTTCTGATGCCCATTTCTCCACCTGTGGTTTTGGTGGAACGGCTGCAGGTGGGGAGAGCTGCTGAGGGGAGCTTTGCAGTGCCTGGATGGATGCAGGGGTGACTCTGCACTGTCCTGGCTTCACCCCTCACACCTGCATGGTAACAAAATTATGCTAATGTCCTGGTTTAGGAATGACATTCCCCAATTAAATGCTCACATTGAAACATCCCAGACCAATTGCTCACAGCCCTCCCCTCCCCCGAGGCAGGACAGAGAGGAGAACTGGAGACAGGACAAGTAAAGATCACGCAGGCTGAGATAAGAGCAATGTGCTAGAAACAGCAACGGGATGTAACCACAGCAATACCAATAACAGAGCGTACAAGACAGACGAAAGATCAGACCACAAACTCGGGCAAAATAATGACATCAACAAACAGGCCCGGTGGTCTGAAAAGGAACAAAACGACTCGGTGGTGTCAGACACCCCGGGCCGTGTGTGGGCAGGGCTCTGTCATGTGCAGCTGCAGGACAGGGAGCTCATGACGTGGCAGCACATCTGCAGAGCGCAGCCCGTGGGACAGACACAGCCACGAGCCAGAGAGCGGCTCAGAGCAGGGGGAACAAGGCAGAGCCTGACACTGCGGGCAGGTGAGTCACCTGCACGGCACACGGGCCAGCCCGGTGGCACCGACCTGCAGGGCATCGCACGCCAGGCCTGGCAGCAGGGTGTGCCCGGGGCAGGTGCCAGCTCGGTGGTGAACACAGGGAGATGATGACACTCCACCCCTCGGGAACAGCTCTGGGGCTGCGGGCTCCCGGGAAGCTTCAAAGGCGGGAGGAAGAAGTGTTGCACCGGGAGGACCCCCGAATTTGGGGACCCGGGGGACCGGGGGGGGCCCCGGTGCCCGGGAGCGGCGGCGGCTGCAGCGCCGGGAGCTCCGGACTGCGGCTCAAGCATCGCCTCCCAGGGGCTCCGCACGGATTTCGGGGACCCCCCCCCGCTCCGCCCCGGGCCCCGGCCCCACCCGCGGGGCCGCCCCCTGCGCTGCGGCGAGCGCGTCCCGGCGGGGGGCGGGCGGTGGAGCCGCCCCTGCGCGGAGCTCTCCGCGCACCCTCCATCCCCTCCCGCGAGCACTGCATCCCCCGCAAACACCAAACATTCCACCCCTCTGCTCATCCTTCCATCCCCTCCCGCGAGCGCTGCATCCCCCAGCAAACATTCCATCCCCCTGCGCACCTTCCGTCCCCCCCGTGCTCCCTCCGCCTCTGCGCGCCCTCCATCCCCCCGCGCACTCCTTCAACCCCTGCTCTCCATCCATCCACCCATCCATCCATCCATCTCCCCAAGGACTCGTCCGTTCCTCCGCGTATTTCTCCGCGCATCCCTCCACGCACTCCTGCATCCTTCCGCGCACTCCTCCGTCCTCCCGCGCACTCCTCCATCCCTCCGCGCACTCCTTCATCCCTCCGCGCACTCCTTCATCCCCCCGCGCATCCCTCCATCCCTCCACGCACTCCTGCATCCTTCCGCGCACTCCTCCGTCCTCCCGCGCACTCCTCCATCCCTCCGCGCACTCCTTCATCCCTCCGCGCATTCCTTCATCCCCCTGCGCATCCCTCCATCCCTCCGCGCACTCCTCCATCCCTCCGCGCACTCCTCCGTCCCCCGCGCCCCCCGCGCCTGTCCCCGCTCCCGGCGGGGCCGCTCCTGCGCGGGGATGGCGGAGCGGCCGCGCTTCCTCTGCGGCGTGGTGGAAGGTAGGTCCCTCCGGGGCCGCGGCTCGGCCGGTCCCGACCCTGTTCCGATCCACCCGCAGCGAAGCGGGGTCGGGAAGGGCCCCAGGCTGGGGGGGAGGCGGGAGCGGGGCCCTTGCACAGACCCCCATCTCTGCCAGGGCGCTGGGCCAGCACCTCTGGGATGCTCCCAGCTGTCCCCAGAGAGCCCTGCGGCCACCCCAGCAGAGCCAGAGGGGCACAGGGAGCCTCTGCTCGGCCTCCAGGGCTCTACACGGGGTTCTTGGCTGTCCTGGACTCAGGGGCACCTCCCGGTGTGCCCCCCCTGCCCATGGGGCAGCTGTGCAGGACCCGTGCTCAGGGCCGGCCAGGGAGAGCTCTGTGCTTCTCCCTCCCCACATCCCCAGCTCCCTCTGGGGCTGAGCAAGGCCTGGCAGAATCATCTGCCCTTCTGCTGGCAGCACAGAGCCCTGTGAGGGGCACTGCCCTCTGCCTCACCTGAGAGGAAGCAGGAGCACCACGCCAATAAATGTAAAACAAACAGGAAATGCAGGGGAGGAGAAGCTGACATGATTCAGCCGTGAATCATTGGTATAGTAGAGCTGACCTGGGAAAGAGGACAGGGATGATGCATAAATAAAATCCATTCCAGGAGAACACTGCTGGCAGGGCGTGTGCAGGACTGAGTGGCCTCCTTGGCAGCCCACGTCAGCTCACAGCAACATGTGCTGTGAAAATGTCACTTGCAGGGGCCATGCAGGGACTCTGGAGACCTCGCTGGGATCTCAAAATAGCAAATTATTTACCACAGAAATAGCTTTCTTTGGGTGAAATGTCTGCTGGGATTCTCAAGTGCCCACAAATTTGGCCCCGTGCACGGTGGGGGATGGATAGCAAGGTGAAAATATATTATTTCAAAAGATATGGAATAACCATGTAGGTGTTCAGGCAGGTAGAAAATCTGCCTGCAGGGAGAAGACAGATGGAGAGTGGGTGTTGCTGTGGTGCAAACCTCCTCACCATTGCCCAGGACTGCTGCTGGGGGCTGCAGGGTGGGCTCCTGCCAAAGGGAGCCAAGGGAATGAGGGCAGGTGAGCTCTGGGACGCTCAGGTGCTTTGGGAAATGCAGGTGACACTGGCCTCATGGAGAGCTGGTCCTTTCTCCCAGCTTGGTGGAGTCAGTGCAGCCTGCCCCTGTGCACCACCCAGTTTTGGGAATGCTGTCACTTCCCAGTATCTGCTCCCCTTGGCCCTGACTGCTGGAAATTGCAGTGATTGACCCAAAAGTTGCCCACAATGCAGAGAGAAAGCAGAAGATACCTTGATGGCCAATTGCCATCACTGTCCAAGACATAATGGATTTTCTGTGAGACTTCACATTGCATCTGCCAGATCTGGAAGAGAATTGAAGTGGCTGAAGGTTCTTCTCTTGCTAAATCTCAGGTCTGTGCTGGGACTCTGACAGGTTCCCTTTAACCTCCACTTTGAGGAGCTGTCAAATCTGCATTTCTCCAAACCCATTAAGCAGCCTGTCCCAGGGGAAGGGGTTTGTGTTCCTCTGGATATCCTTTCTCCCTGGCTTTGCAGACAGCTCTGCACCTCCCAGCTCTTCCTACATGCAGAAATAGGAAGGGCCCTTCCCTGGAAGAGTCCCAAAGGCAGAACGGGTGCTGCTTGCCTGGCAGTGCCTCTCTGCCTTCAGACACTGTTCCGAGGCACTTTCCAACAGCTGCATTTTGCCTTTTTTTCCCTCCCTTTTACAGGTTTCTATGGGAGACCATGGTCAATGGATCAGAGGAAACTCCTCTTCCAATGGCAAGTACCCCAAATTTTCCTCTCTGAAGGTGCGGGTGGCAGCCAAGGGACCTCACGCTTGCAGTGTCCCCCTGTCCCAGCGCTCTCCCGGCCCCGGGAAGTATCCTCGCTTTGCCGGGCCGGGGGTGCGGCGGGCCGGACGGACGGACAGACAGACGGGGGACCGGCAGGTGGTGCTGGGGCTCCGCACATCCCGCTGCAGCCCCGTGTGGGCGCGTCCCCGCTGCCACCAGCAGCAAGCCAGGACAGCAGGCAGGCAATTCCAGCCAGCCGGGGCTCGCTGAGCCGGTGGGATCGGGGGGCATCACTCCATCCTGAGCACAGCTGTGTCACAGCTGCCATCCCCGCCTGCTGTGTCCCTGTGAGCCCCCACGCGTGTCTGTGTGTCAGCCTGTGTCCCCGTGACAAAAGGATGTGCTCGGGATCTGTCACTGGGACGGGAGGTTTCTGTGCTGCTCCTCTGCGAGCGGCTGCTGCCCAAGCCTGGGCTGTCAGTGGGATGAGCTGCACTGACAGGACCTGCCACCGGTGACTGCCACCAGTGACTGCCAGCAGTGACTGCCACCAGTGACTGCCACCAGTGACCTGGGGCTCTGCAGGGCCTCCCGTGGGCAGTGCAGTGGTGACAGTGTGGGCAGTGACAAGTGTGATTAAGGACCAGAGTGCAGAGACAGAATTCACAGACTCACAGAATGACCAGGTTGGAAGAGATCTTCAAAACCATCGAGTCCAACCCAGCCCCAACACCTCAGCTAAACCCTGGCACCCAGTGCCACATCCAGGCTTTGTTAAACACACCCAGGGATGGGGACTGCACCACCTGCCCGGGCAGAAAATTCCAGAACTTTATAACGTTTTTTATAAAAAAAAATTTTGTGATATCCAACCTGTATTTCCCTTGGTGCAGCTGCAGGCTGTGTGCTCTGGTTCTGTCAGTGCTGCCTGGAGACAGAGCCCAGCCCCAGCTGAGCACAGGCACCTTTCAGGGAGTTGTAGAGTGATGAGGGCACCTCTGAGTCTCCTTTTCTCCAGTCTGAACACCCCCAGCTCCCTGAGATACAGGTACAGAAAATGGAGGGAAAACAAGCTGGGATGTTGTAAAGTTCCTCAGGAATGAGCAGGTCTTGTCTGGTGCTGCACTGGGATGTGTTCACATGGTGGCACATGAGGGTGGCATGTCCATCAGTGGTTTTTTTTTATCTTGAAAGAAACAAAATAAGGGACTTTTATCATGAGATAGCTGAAGTGCTCTCTACTCCATTCACCATGGGAAAATGTAAAACATGGTCTGCTGAGGAGGATAAATAAAACCAAATTAATATATCAGATGCCTTCCATACAGAAGTGCCAAAAGAGGGAGGTGTCTGCCCTCCCAGGGGGCACATCCTGCTGGTGTGTGACACAAACCTCAGAGCTCAGCCCTGGCTGAGATCTCTGTCTCCACGTGGAGCCTGGCTGACTCCCTGCTCTCCCTGCACAGGCTGCAGCACCGGGGGCTGAACTGCTACATGTACGCACCCAAGGATGAGCTGAAGCACCGGCTGCTCTGGAGAGAGCCCTACACAGAGCATGAGGCAGGTAGCGGCTCTGCTGGGCCCCTCGGGGGGCTGCAGGCATCCCAGGTCCCTGAGGGGAAAGCATGGCTTGTGTCCCAGCTATTTCCATCCTGCCAGGACCCTGCCCCTTGCAGGGAAGCCCCCAGACCTTGCCAAGGGCAAGAAGATTCCCAGACCGTGCCCATCACGTGGAATTGCCTAAGGGAGCACCCAGCCTCCCATGTGGGACTCAGGCAATGTGCTTTAGTATACCCAGGCCCACGGACCCTTGCCAAAATTCCTCTGTGTCTTAAGAGAGTGGAAATGGTCCCCCTGGAGCATCTCCCCTCCCAATAACCTCAGCTCCTTCCTTTCACAATCCTGGGGTTCACTCTCCCTCCATCCCTTGTCCTGCTCCATCCCCTGCTCCCTTCATCCCTTGTCCTTCTCGATCCTTTGTTTCCTTCCATCCCTTGTCCCACTCCATCCCCTGTCCCCCTCCATCCCTAATCCTGCTCCATCCCTTGTCCCCCTCCATCTCTTGTACCCTCCATTCCTTGTCCTATTCCATCCCTCGATTCTGCTCCATCCTTTGTCTCCCTCCATCCCTTGTCCATCCCTTGTCCTGCTCCCTCCCTTATTCCCCTTCATCCCTTATCCCCCTCCACCCCTTATTCCCCTCCCTTCCTTGTTCCATTCCATCCCATGGTCCTATTCCATCCCTTATCCCCCTCCATCCCTTATTCCTTTCCATCCCTTATTCCTCTCCATCCCTTATTTCCCTCCATCCCTTATTCCTCTCCATCCCCTACTCTCCTCCATCCCTTGTCCTGCTCCATCCCTTATTTCCCTCCATTCCTTGTTCCATTCCATCCCTTATCCCTCTCCATCCCTTATTCCTTTCCATCCCCTACTCTCCTCCATCCCTTGTCCTGCTCCATCCCTTATTTCCCTCCATCCCTTGTCCTATTCCATCCCTTGTCCCCCTCCATCCCTTATTTTCCTCCATTCCTTGTCCTATTCCATTCCTTGTCCTGCTCCATCCCTTACTCCTCTCCATCCCGTACTCTCCTCCATCCCTTCTCCCCCTCCATCCCTCATCCCCCTCCATCCCTTATTTCCCTCCATTCCTTGTTCTATTCCATCCCTTGTCCTGCTCCATCCGTTATTTCCCTCCATCCCTTATCCCCTCCATCCCTTACTCCTCTCCATCCCTTCTCCCCCTCCATCCCCTCTCCCCCTCCACCCCTCGCCCCCTCCACCCGTGTCCCGCTCCCCCGTGCCTCCCAGCTCTCACAGGCCCTCTGTGCTCTGTCCCCAGCCCGCATGCGGTCTCTCATCGAGGCTGCCCAAGAGCAGGGTGTGGAGTTTATTTTCGCCGTTTCTGCTGGCCAGGACATGGTGTTTTCCAGCGCTGGGGATCGCCTCCTGCTGCAGCAAAAACTCAGGCAGGTACCGTGGGCCGTTCCTTCATCCCACTGCTCCCAGGAAAGGGGCACGTGTGTTTGTGTGTGCTCCCCGTGCTGCTCTGGGGGTGCTGCACAGAGGGACCAGCCCTGGGCTGCCCGTGGCCGATGTGCTGTCCCTGGCGCTGTGACAGAGAGCTGAGGGCTCCACGGGTGCCTGACCAGGGGCAGGAGAAGGACCAGCCGAGCCCAGAACTCTCTGGGCAGCACTGAGGGCTGGCACAGGCTGGAGCAGAGCCCCGGCTCCCCAGGGAGGGCACAGAGCTGCTGGCATGGTGGCATCGCTCCGTGGGCAGCTGCTACTCCCTTGGCACGGCCCAGGCAGGAATGCCCCGTGCTGTGCCGTGCCCAGATGCCCCTGGCCAGCCCCCTGGGGCTCTCTGCTGCCCGGGGGTCCCAGCAGCCCCCGTCTGTGCCCGCAGGTGGCTGCCGTGGGGTGCCGCTCCTTCGCGCTGCTCTTCGACGACATCGACCCCTGCATGTGCCAAGCTGACAGAGATGTCTTCCCCTCCCTGGCACAAGCTCAGGCCTCTGTGGCCAACGAGGTGTACCAGGAGCTGGGCCAACCCTCCATCTTCCTCTTCTGCCCTACAGGTACTGCCTGCAGCCCTGCAAAGCGGGGAGCCCCCTCAGGACTGGGGTGTCCTTTGGCTGCTCCCCGTCCCTGCTGAGAGCTGAGTGCCCTGGCAGCCCCCACAGCTCTCCCTGGGCTCCTCACCCTCCCAGGGGAGCTTTGGCCATCTCAGGGCTAGACTAGGGCTAGTCCGTGGTCTCAGCTGTCCTTCCCAGCCTCCTCACCCTCCCAGGGGAGCTTTGGCCATCTCAGGGCTAGACTAGGGCTAGTCCGTGGTCTCAGCTGTCCTTCCCAGCCTCCTCATCCTCCCAGAGGAGCTCTGGCCACCTAGGACTAGACTAGGACTAGTCCATGATCCCAGCAACCTCTCCTCTCCTGGTCCCCAGCTCTCAGGGGATGCTCTGTGCTCTCTCCCAGAATATTGCAGCTCGCTCTGCTCTCCCAGCCCCAGCCAGTCCTGCTACCTGCAGACCATCGGCCAGGAGCTGCTCCCAGGGATCGCTGTCATCTGGACAGGTGAGCCGGGAGCAGCTCTGGGTCACACACACGTGCAGCGTCTGCAAACCCTGTGGCCACGGGCTGTCCTGGGAGAGCCACCAGCAAGTGACCCCGCTGTGGTGCCTCTCACTGGGGTGTGCAGCCCCAGGCAGGCAGGGCTTGGAGCTGGGGCTCTGCTCTCCTGCCTGGGGAGCGTGGCTGTGCTGACTGCAGCCTCATCTCCGTGTCCGTGCTGCGTGTCTGTGATGGACGCTGTGCCCACGTGTGTCCCTGCCCGACGGCCCAGGCCCCAAGGTGGTGTCCCAGGAGCTCTCAGCAGAGCTGCTGGAGGAGGTGGAGGCTGTCCTGAGGCGCCGCCCCGTCATCTGGGACAACCTCTACACCAACGACTACGACTGCAGGCGCGTCTTCCTGGGCCCCTACATGGGCCGAGCTCCTGGCCTCACCTCCAGGCTCCAGGGGCTGCTCCTCAACCCCAACTGCGAGCTCCAGGCCAACTTCATCCCCATCCACACGCTGGGCACCTGGTTCCAGAGCGAGCTGGGCAGCTGTGCCCACCCTGACCGTGCAGGTAGCTGGCACCCGTGCCCGGGCAGCTCTGCCTGCCCTGCCCAGCCCTGCCCAGCAGCTGGCCTGCACGGAGCCAGGGCTGCCCAGGCTGATCAGCTGCAGTTCCTCAGGAATGGAGGGAGCCCTGGAAGACAGCCAAGGTGCTCAGGATGGAAGCTACAGCCCCCAGGAAGCCTTGGAGCTGGCTCTGCGTGACTGGGTGGCTGAGATAAACCAGCAGGCTTTGGAGGCAGGTAAATGGATTTGCACGAGCAGCATCCCTCAATCCCTGGAGTGCTGGATCAGCTCTGCCAGGAGCTCGGTGGGTGGGGGGTGAGGGAGCCCCTCCCTGCCCATCTGGAGGGTCTGGGGCTGGTGTGGCAGCTGTGGGTGCTGCCCCGTGGGTGCTCCTGCCATGGCTGCAGCCTGGAGAGGGTTTCCTTGGCTGGCAGAACCAGAGCCTGGGCCAGCTCTGGAGGAAGAGGTCAGCCAGGGGCGAGCTTGGTGTTTCGCAATGTTTGCCTCTGCAAAGCCACAGCCTCACCAGCTCTGGGGGCCTGAACTCGAGCCCAGGGTCCTGGCAGCTCAGCCCCTACCAGCTCAGGGGTGGAGGTCCCTGGCACCATCCTGCCCCATGGGCAGTGGTTTCCATGCAGGTGCCAAAGGAGCTTCCCTCTTGTTCCTTTCTGGCAGGAGGAAGGACCTCAGGACACCCCAGTGTCAGCCTCAAGGGAGGACCAAAGCTGCAGCCTGGCACGGCAGGAGGACAGGAGGTCACTCCCGACCCTCAGCTCCACAGCTCTGCTCCTGGTGGGGCACATCAGCACAGCCCTGAGCCCTGTGGAGTGGCACCAGAGGAGGGGGACAGGGAGGTGACCTCAGAGCCTGATCAGGACACTGGGAACAGGACACCCACGGGCCATCAGCAGAGCCCTACAAGGGCTGGGGACCAGCTCGCCTCAGGGAGCTGTGAGCCCCCCTGTGCTGTGCCCAGCGTGGCTGGCAGTGCCCAGTCTGCAGGAGTCCCAGTGGCCACCAAGACCCTCCCCAGTCCAAGCCCCACCACGAGCTCCAGCAGTCAGAACGTTTCCTTGCCCACCAGGGATGCCAGGACAGGGAATGGCAGCCCCGTCCTGTCCCCCAGCAGCACCCGGCCTGAGGCCATCAGGACTGATGTGCCCCAGACACCCCCAGGACCTGGGGCTGGTGCCAGCCCTGCTGCCCCAGCCCCACTGACTGATGAGGTTGGTGCCAGCCCTGGTCCCATGGCACCAGTGACCCCAGAGGAGGCCGGGCCTGGCCCCATGGCACCACTGCCCCCCAAGGAGGCCACAACCAGCTCCCCAGCACAGGTGACCCCAGAGGAGCCCAGGACCAGCCCCATGGCACCAGTGACCCCAGAGGAGCCCAGGACCAACCCCATGACCCCCAAAGATGCCAGGACCAGCCCTACAGCAAAGATGACCCCAGAGGAGGCCAGGACCAGTCCCATGGCACCTGTGACCCCAGCGGAGGCCAGGACCAGCCCCACATCCCAGGTGACCCCAGAGGAGGCCAGGACCAGCCCCACAGCCCAGGTGACCCCAGAGGAGGCCAGGACCAGTCCCATGGCACCTGTGACCCCAGAGGAGGCTGAGTCTGGCCCCATGACCTCCACGGAGGCCGGGACCAGCCCCACAACTCAGGTGACCCCAGAGGAGGCCAGGACCAGCCCCCCATCCCAGGTGACCCCAGAGAAGGCTGAGTCTGACCCCATGACTCCCAAAAAGGCCAGGACCAGCCCCCCATCCCAGGTGACCCCCACGGAGGCCAGGACCAGCCCCCCATCCCAGGTGACCCCCACGGAGGCCAGGACCAGCCTCACGGCACCGATGACCCCAGAAGAGGCTGAGTCTGACCCCATGGCACCAATGACCCCAAAGGAGGCCAGAGCCAACCCCACAGCACCCCTGAGCCCAGAGGAGGCCGTGTCCAGCCCTACAGCACCCCTGAGCCTGGAGGAGGTGCGGATGCTGGTGGAGCTCTTCTACCTGCCCTACCACCACGGGGCTCTGGCCCAGGAGCTCCTGGAGCACTTTCGGTGGCTGCGAGCAAACAGCCTCAGCGTGGGGGTCCCGGCCACGGCGCCCGATGCCTGCGGGGTAAGGCAGCTCCTGGAAGGTGGCTGCGGTGGCTCGAGTGTCCCCCGGGTGGCTGAGAGGCGGTGTGTCCCCAGGGCAGGCGGTGGCGGGGCCGGGCTCAGTCCTTCCAGCTGCTCTGCGCACGGACGTGCCGCCTGCACAGCCGCTTGGTCAGCACGGCCAGCAGGGAGCTGCTCTACGACCTGCACCCCTACCTCTGGGACATCCGCAACATGCTGCTGGCCGCCGGTGCCTTCGTCCTGTGGCTGGGTACGTGGCTGATGCCAGCCCCTGCCAGCCCCTGCCAGCCCCTGCCAGCCCTGCCAGCCCTGCCAGCCCTGCCAGCCCCCAGCACGCCTCTCCAAACGCGGCTGTGTCAGAGCTGCAGCACCGGGGCACACCTGATGCTCGCCCTCTTCCCCAAGGAGGAGGTGAAGGTGTCTGGGACCTGCCCCGGAGGTGTGGGGTTCTGGTAGGGCCAGGGTCCCTCCAAAAGTGTCCCTTTGACACTTTTGCTGCTGCTGCTGCCCCGTGTCCCGTGCTCACCACCTCGCCTCCTTTGCAGATGGTCACCTCCTGTGCGACCCTGACCCCAAGGGCACCTGGGGGAGCTGCTTTGGCTGTAAGTATGGGCACTGCCCTGCCTCACCCTCCTGGCTGCTGCCCCCCATCACCTCCAGCCCCACAGCAGCAGCCAGAGCTCGCCACCTGTGGCATTCACATTCTCTGAACAGAGAGAGATAATTCTCTCTCACACAGGTTTTTTTCTGCAGAAGCACAGAGAGAAAACAGCTCTACTTGCTTCTCCTGTTGTTTTTGCATATGTGGAATGTGTTAGGAAAATTGTTTACCTGAAGGGATTTGGTAATTGGATTCTGCTAAGAATTGTTTTCTTCTCTCTGTGCTTCTCCAGGAAAAAAACCTGTGAGAGAGAATTATATCTCTCTCTGTTCAGAGAATGTGAATGCCACAGCCTTCAGGCCGCCCTTCCCCACACTCTGCCTGCAGGAATGGCCCTGGGAATGCTGCCAGGGTGGGAGCAGATCTTCACCATATCTCACAGCCATTTCTAGGATATGGTTCCTCAGCCCTTTTATCCCAAAGACCCCTTAGCCTTGTGGAAAAAGGGTTCTGGAAGGAGTAATGCCCTGGGTGAGAGGTGGGGCTGTGTTTTGAATGCTTGTGCATCACTTTGCACAGTTTTCCTCTGGTTTAGGGCCCCCTGGTTGCTCTGTGGGCCCTGTGACCTCTTACAAACCAAGAACTGCTACCAGCTGATGACCTGAGCAGGTTTCCAAGTTCAGTGTGAGAGGGAGCCGTGTGCCTTGAGCCCCTTCCTTAGGGAATCAGCATTCAGGGCACATTCTCACCATCCTGGGCTGCACAGCTGGGGAGCAGCTCCTTGGAGCTGTGACAGAAGCTGATCTCCCCCTGCCCAGCAGCTTTTCGTTCACCTCACGTGTGTCTGTGTCCTGCTGCTTCCAGGGTGCCAGAGCATCACTGCCCCCATGCTGCTGGGCAGGGACGCCGAGCCCTGGGCGCGCCGTGGGGGCCTCTTTGGGGAGCTGCAGGTGAGAGTGTGTCCCTCCCTCGCCGTGGGGCTGAAGGAACCTTTGGGAAGCCAGTATCCCAACCCTGCTGCTGAGCCGCTGCAAACTTGGGAAGGCAGAGCTGCCCCTGCACCTCAGCTGCGGTTCCTGGGCTTTCAGCAGTCTCAAAGCCATTCTGCTGCTGCCTCCAGGATGAGGTTTGGAGCCAGGATGAGCTGATGGACTGTATCTCTTCCAGGCACTGCTGCCCGTGGGGAACAGCTGTGACCTGTTCTACCATCCACCCCCGCTCTTCCCGTCCAGCCAGCTGTACCTGCTGCGCCCGCTGCTGCCCCTGGACAAGGTGGGAGCCGTGGCATGGAGGGGGGTCCTGCCTTTGTGTGGCTTGTGCTGCCCATAAAACGATGAGTGCCAGGTTCATCTGCTGCTGAGCCCAGGCTGAGCTCCCAGTGTGGGGTGACACAGGTGGGGAGGGTCCTTGTGGCCAGCTCTGCTCAGAGACAGCTGCCTGGGGAAGCTGTTGGGAGTGTGCTCAGCAGCGTGTCAGATCCTGGCCTGGAGAATGTGCTGTGGCCTCAGCAAACCCACCTCTCTGTGACAGGGCAGAGCAGGAGAGGGAACCCCCTGAGCCACAGATAAACCAGCACCAGGGCAGGGTTGCCAGGTTGTGGATGATCTCCAGAGCAGCCCCAGTGCTGATCTCCAGCACTGGTTGTGAGCAGATGTCAGGAAAAATCCAGAACAGGACAAGTGTGGATGGCAACTTTCTGCAGCCTTCACCAGTCTGCAGCTCTGGGCACTGCCAGAGCCTGTGGGGATCCATCTGCAAATCCCTTCCTCAAACACTCACCCAGTTTTTGGGGTGATTCCCTGCTGGAGAGCAGCAGTTTCTGTCAGCTGTGACCTGCTTGGTGCCAGCTCTGCCCTGCCATCCCTTGATGGGACAGGGAGGGAAAGGGAGAATCTGGATATGGAGGGACAAAATGCTCAAGGTTTCCCATGTACCTGCAGAGGGACCCCTGTCCCTCACCGTGCTCCTCTCCAGCTCAAGGAAAGGCTAACACCACAAATCCAGCCAGCACAGACACGAGTGCAGCTCGTCTGCTCAGGCTGAACCTTGGCAACAACAATGCTGAGAGGAAGAGCCAGCTGAGCCCATCGGCCCATTGCAGGAACTGGCACAGCAGGGCACGGTCCTGCCCCTGCTTTTGGGTGATCAGGGCAGCCTCCCCTTTCAGGAGCAAGGCTTTTATCAGAATGTTTGCAGCAGCAAACTCAACTGTGACCAGGACATTTGGGGATGTCCTGCTGTGCTCAGGCTCTCTGGAGATCTCAGTTTCAGGGTTGTTTTGGTGCCGTTCTGGCTGCTCTGAGCGTGCTCCAGCAGCTGCTCTCGGGATGCCTGACCAGAATGGCAATTTCTGGTTTGAAGGCTGCCTGTGCTGTGGCCATGAGCCCGAGGCCAGCAGAAGGTGGTGGCTGGCACCGTGGCAGGGCAGGTACAGCCAGGGCTGACACGGATCCGGCTCTTCCAGGGAGAGCTTTACCGCATGTGCCGGGAGAGTTTGGACTGTGATCCCAAAGTGGCAGAGATCCTCGTGGCCCACCCGGATCTCCTCGGTGACAGGTGAGATGTGGCCCCTCTGAGGCTCCCTCCTGGACATGGTGCGGGGCTGGGGAGTGAGGAGATGGCCTCTCTTGGCATCCCTGTGGGGACCAGCGCTGCCCCACGGCTGGCAGTGGCCTCACTGGGAGGGACAGGGAGGGACATCCCCATGCTGATGTCCACCAGGGTCATGGCAGCCACCGTTGTGGATGTCCAGCCTGGATGCTGGAGGCTGCAACGGCTCCCCTTGGCTGAGGGTCTCAAAGGGGTGGTCAGAGGGTGCTGGGTGTGCTGTCCAGCTGGGGAATGAAGAGGGAGGCTGCTCTGAGGTTTCCCAGGGGCTCCAGGCTCAGCTCAGCCCTGCTCCCGCTCTGCCTGGCAGGCTCCTGGGCAGCTTCCTCAGCCTGAGCCCGGAGTACACCTTTGTGCTGGAGGATGAGGATGGCCCCTGTGGCTACGCAGCCGGAGCGCTCCACGCCGAAGGCTTCCTGCAGCAGCGAGACAGCAGCTGGCTGCCGGCCATCCGGCACAAGTACCCCCCCGAGCTGGGCACAGCGGGGCCAGCTCTGGGACAGGTGAGGGCACACCTGCAGCACAGGGATAGGAGAGGTGGAGGGCGTTCCCTCACTGTGCTTGTCTCCCGCAGGATGCCCTGGAGGAAGCAGTGCTCTTCTTCCACTCAGAGCCACTGGCAGTGCCCCAGCCCGTGCTGAGGCGCTTCCCCTCCCTGGTACAGCTGGGCACAGCCCCCCGTGTGCTGGATGTGGGGGCCAGCCGCAGCCTGGCCCTCTGCCTGCTGAGTGCACTCAGAGCCAATGGTGAGCATGACCTCCGAGTGCTGCCCTTCATCCAAGGGCTGCTCACCCACCAGAGCCGGGAGCTGTCCCCTCCCCTTGCACTGGGGACATGCGGGCCTGTGTCTCAGGGCATCACGCTGTGGCAAAGGGGCAGGGGAGACACCGATCCCCTTATGGAGGGGGTCCCTGTCACTGTGCCCCCCGACCCAGTGCCCTGAGCTCTCGCCTCCCTTCCAGGCTCACGGGGAGTGTTCTGCCAGGTCAGCGACGCCGACCGGCAGCAGCTGAGCTTCTACAGCAAGCTGGGCTTTGTCGCCCTGCCGGTGGCCTGGGGCAGCTCTCCCGGCTCTCAGCTCCTGGGACGTCTCCTCTGATGGGGCACAGGGAGGCAGTGCCCCAGGCCAGGCTGGTTCCCAGGCCGGGCTGAACCCCCCATCCCACACAGCATCGGCCTGAGCAAGCGGGAGCAGAGGGGCACCTCGAGCAGGCCAGGTACACGTGAGAGGGGACATAGGGACAAGCAGGATGTCACTGGGATGTGTGCAGGGCTGTCAGGTACCTGGGTAGCAGAGAGATATTGCTGCTGCTGAGGGGATTTGGCCACCTCTGTGCCACCCCAGCTGCTGCTGTTTGCTGGGTGCCCAGGCCAGCAGAGCCTCAGGCCTGCAGGAGCTCGTGAGCAGCGTTTGGGTTTGTGATCCTGGGGCACAGCACGGTGCCTTCGTGCCACGGGAGTGTCCCCATCACGCAGGCTGGGCTGCCCAGCTCTCTCCATCCCCTGTGTGGCCTGAGACTGGGCGGTCAGTGCTGGGGCTGGCTCTCGGCACTGAGGATCTGCTTGTCTGTATGGATTGATATGGGATGCGGTGAGGCAGCCTCTGTTTTTGTGCCTGGGGCCTGAGGGAAGCGCTGTCCTTGGCAATAAAGCGTTTGCTGGGCTCTCACCATGGCTCGTTTCTTGGGGGAACGTGTTGGGGTGCTAACACATCCCTCTCACACCCTCAAACGCTCTCACACATCTCACACCGGCTCTTACAGTCGGTCTTGTGTCCCCTCACACAAAGCAGCTCCCCACACATCCCAGCCTCCATGCTCACAGCCCCAGCCCTGGAGGGCTTTCCTGCAGGATGGGACCCCGGGCTCGGGGGGTCTGGGGGTCGCAGCCTGCCCAGCACAGGCAGGATGACCAAGGGGGGATCTGTCCATCCCCCCCACTGCAGCCTCTGCCAAGGGGCACCCAGGGCGAACCATTCCTGCCCGTTTCCCTCTCCTGCCCCTCGGAGCCGGCTGCCCACGGGTGAGGCGAGGGCTGGGTGGGGTCGGGACGGCCGAAACCCCGGCAGCGGGGCTGGGCTGGCGGCTCCCCGCGGCCTCAGGAGCGGCCGGGCCGCTCCGTCCCGGGGGTCCGGCCCTGGAGCCGAGCCGGGCCGGGACGGGGGCTGGAGCCGGCCCCATGGCGGGCCCATGGCGGG